ATTCTCTCCAGCCTTCTGCTTGTTCTGCTCATCTCCAGCCTCTGGAGGCTGCAGAAGAGTCAAGAAATAAGCAGGGGGCTGGAGATCAGCAGGGGGCTTGGGGGAAGCTGTAGCCCCTGGGGGAGCCTGGAACCCTGCAGGCAGGATAGTCCATGTGCTGGGGCAGGGGGCTCTGCCCTGTGGGGGGCAGGGGACCACTGATGACCTGTAGGGAGTAAATGCGGGTGCACATACACCCCCTGAGCATGACAGTGCATCCCCTCAGAAAAGGTGCCGCCAACACTGTCGGCAGTGCCTGAGGACGGTCGCCGCTCGCCACCACCCCCCCTGCCACCAATGGCATCTGAGGGCAGTCATCAATTGCTGCTGGCCACCGCTGTCACTGCCAGCAGTGTCTGCAGGTGGTCGCCAACCCCTGGTTGGCACTTGCCATCCCTCCCCCCACTGCTGACAGCCCCGGTGACATCAGCAGGAGTTTCCCACTTACCGCTGCCACCACACTCCTGCCATCACCAGTGCCGCCATGCCCCACCAGTGGCTGGGGGCACACAGTGTTCATGCAGGGGACCCACCCCTCCTAAGCAGCCCTCACACCCACAGTCCCCCTACACCTACCCATGCACTGACTCACATCCCTCCACACCCACCCACATCCCCCCACCCCACTTCCCATCCCCTCCTACTATCCCCACATCCCCCCATCACATACCCACCATGTGATAAGGAAACCAAAAGCAAACATGAAAACATATAGATATTTAGGATTTATTTTATTAGGATGCTAGAGACACTGCTAGGCTTCCAATTTTCTTTAACATTGAAAATATAGCCAAAAAACATTGACCATCTGATCAATCCCCCTTTTTCTCTCTCTCTTGTTCTAATTGTGGAAGAATATGGATTTGGGGGCATTTTAAAAAGTGAATTTGGGATGCTGCTTCAGCAGTCTAGTTGACACAAGGGGCTACTGTCCCCAGATACTAAGTGGTTGGGCCTCAGAAACTCCTGAGGGCAACGAGCCCTGAGCTGCTGGCCAGGGCAGGTTTTTATACTGCTGGGGCCAGCACAGGTGCTGGCCCCAGGCTCTAGCTCCCCCTGGCTCCAGATCCGGGAAGAGCCAGGCAAGGTTATTTTGCCCCAAGTGGCACAATTTGCCCCACAACAAAGTGCATGTCCGAGCATGTGAGCTGAGGCAAAATGCCCCAGCTCAAATTTGCACCACTTCTTTTTGAGCTGCTGCAAGCGCACATGCTTGCATGTGTGGACATGCCGTTAGAGTTCTCAGATCCTCAGTCAAGCACGTCCTCCTGGGCACTCACTAAGTTGCTCTGCTTGGGACCCACATACCAGATCCATGTGCTTTCACACTTTCTCAAGTCAGAGCAGTACCTTGGCACAACCCTTTCTTCTCTGTTTCTACAAACACCTGTGGGGGAGAGAATCTTTTTCATCACTTCTGAGAACTGGAAGCTCTTCAGTTCAATTGCATAGCCCCCAGGAGTAGTACTGGCTCCCTTGGCCTCTCCAGTTACTTAACACTCCCTTTCCCAGTGCCCCAGGCTTTCTGTGTTACAATCTGCCTCAACCCGAACACCTGATAGTTGAAGCAAACAGACACACTCTAAAAATAATCAGT